CAACTTCCAGGACAGGGACGTTAGGCCTCAAATGTGATCTATTTTAACTTCCTTCTGAGCCCCTCCCCTTTGGGCAGTTGCCCCATCTAGCAAGCTTCTCAGAAAGGTTCTGGAAATGCTCAAGGCCATGCTTGTAGGCAAGGAATTATGGGTCACGGCTCCTGACATTCAATAAATACTTCAAGGCTGCCTCCAAAGGTCTAGCAGGGCACCTGCGTGCTTCCTTGGACCTTAGCTCCCATTGTCTCCAATCTCTTCTTACACGCTAGCCACTCTGGCACCTCTTTGTGTCCCTAAAATACGTCGAGTTTTAGTCAAGGTGTATTCCTGCCTCCTTCCTTCGCCCTTGCTTCCTCTTCCCAGAACATTCTTCCTCAGATCTCCACATGGCCAGCTTCCTCTCATCATTGAGGTCTCCGAGCAGCTACCCCTCCAAGGAAGGGCTCTCCTGACCTCTTTAGCTAAAGTAGCCGTCCCTCAACCTCTACTCACTTTTTACCCTATTATACAGTTTTACTTTCTTCTTAGCACTTACCATCACCTGAGATGGTCTCATGTGCATGTGTACTTGTTATTTGATACCTCCCAGAGGCAAGAGCACATCTGTCTTGTCCATACTGAATCCCCGGCACCCCCACACGCAAGAAATGCTTGTTACACGAATGAATGAGTGAAAGGCTCTATGATATCTTCATAGCAGAATGATAGCTTCCTCCTGGGCGAGCCATGGCAGTATATTTACTCCTGTATGCAGTGCTAATTTCAGTCGTGCTAGATTGGTACATTGGTGGACTCCAATGGAACACAGCATCCAATATCCATGCTCTTTTGTAGTCCCTCACATATCAACTCCAGGCATGGTCATGAGACTTGCTTTCTCCAATAGGATGTTAGCAAGTGTGATGTAAGCAGAGGCTTGATAAGTCCTTCAATGCTTGTTTGTCCTCTTGGGACACTGTCTCGAGGTCCTGAGTTACCTTGTAAAGAGTTACCTTAATGAAGAGACCACATGGAGACAGATGAGCCCAGCCAGCCCCCACGATTCCAGCCGTTCCTGTTGAAGTGCTGGAAATGTGAGTGAAGAAGTCCCCTGGGACATTCCTCCCCAGCACATACCAGGTAGGGCCACCTAGCTGAATCCAGCCCAGATAGCAGAACCCTGAGAAATAACAAATCATTATTTTTTATAAGTTTGGCATGGCTTGTGACACAGCAACAGGTAGCTGAAACACCAGTGTCTCTCTCATTACAAGTGGTTGTGTATGCGTCTACACCCTTCCTCTACTAGACTGTGAGCCCGAGGCAAAGGGATGCAATATAATTATCTTTGTTTTTCCCACTTTGCCGGGCATCTTGCACAAGTTAAGTCAATCCAAGAGTCTTCATTCAGAGATTTGTTGAGCCCCTCTACACGCTAGTCTCTGTGCCACCTGCGTGCAGACAGTTGTGTATGTGTGTATGTGTGTGTGCCAGTGATGCAGAAGGTGCACAAAGAGGTAGTGAAGATTCACTTCCCAAACACTTCACACGGCTGTTCCCTGAGGTCAACTCCCAGCACAGCAGCCCAAGTGCAGGAGGTTGAACACCAGTGTCCACAGAGGCCAAAGAAAGGTCTGTGGGGGCCCAGAGAGGGCATGGCTAACTCTGCCACCGGAGACTTGGGGGAAGACTCTACCCACCTAGGGAGCAGCTTTCAAGCTGAGCATCAAGTGTTCAGGCTGCTGTCTTAAAGCAGGGAAGTTGGCAAGGTGATTGTAGTCCCTTGCTCATATGATCTTCAAGGCCATCAAGTGTAATAGGGTCATTTTACAGCTCATGAAGCACTGACATCAAGCCACTCTCTCCTCTCTCTCTGACTCCTGAGGTTTGGGGGCCACATCTTCCCCTCCCTAGGCCCCCAGTAGACACACACCCATCCTATCTTCCCCGTTTCCACAGCACTGGTTATTCTTTGAAAGAGAGAGAGAGAGAGAGGGAGAGAGAGAATGGGGCAGGTCTACCTAACCCTGAAGCCATTCATGTCTTTAAAACCCAAACCAAATCAAGACAACACAAGCCAAGCCAAGCCAAGCCAAACCAGGGGGCACCTGGGTGGCTCAGTCAGTTAAGCATCCGAATTTAGCTCAGGTTGTGATCTCATAGTTTGTGAGTTCAAGCCCCACATCAGGTTCTCTGTTGTCAGCACAGAGCCCGCTTCGGATCCTCTGTTCCCCTCTCTCTTTGCCCTTCCCCTGGTCATTCTCTCTCTTTCTCTCTCTCTCAAAATAAATAAATAAACTTAAGAAAAAAGTTTAAAAAAACAAAACAAAAACCACCAAACCAAATCCTACTCTATACTGCCCCTAAACCTAAGTCTAAATATTTCTTTTTCCTCTTTTTTTGCCCTCTTGGATGCAATTAAATAAATTCAAAGTGAGGACACAATTCAACTCAAGGAGATTAGAAGTGATTGGTTGGGGCACCTGGGTGGCTCAGTCGGTTAAGAAATGATGATTGGTTATCTGAGAGTAAAAAAATAATTAACTTTACAGTTACAAATAAATATGTAAAAAAATTTTTGAAGGAGAGGAAGTAGGGATTATTTTGCCGCTAAAATTTGTATTACAAAAAGGTCAAATATACAGAAGAGTTAAAAGATCCAACAATTAATACGTTGCCATATTCAGGGGCACCTGGGTGGCTCAGTCTTTCGAGCATCTGACTTCAGCTCAGGTTGTGATCTCACGGTTTGTGAGTTCGAGCCCCACGTGGGGGCTCTGTGCTGACAGCTTGGAGCCGGGAGCCTGCTCCAGATTCTGTGTCTCCCTCTCTCTCTGCCCTTCCCCCCGCTCATATTCTGTCTCTCTCAAAAATAAAACAAACATTAAAAAAAAATAAGTTGCATATTCACTGTGTGTGTGCACACGTGTACATGTGTTTTCCTCAAAGATTTGGAGGTAAGTCCGATTGTTCTACATAAGCACCAAACCATTGTCTCACCTGAGAAAATTAACTATAATTAGCCATTATCTTCGAACAAAGGGCTTGGAGGAAGGAGATAAGGTTTTTATCTCCACGTCTCATCCGGGAGCACAGGAAAGTCGGCCAGCGTGCTGAGCCAAATGTGGGGGATGTGCACGAGAGGGCTTTCTGATCCTGAGACCTGGACAAACGTGTGAAGCTGGCATCATTCAAGGGTTTGTTTCAAACCATTTGCGGGAGCTCCTTGGCCTCTGGATTCTGAGCCTGTGTAATCAGCTGCCTGTGTACTAGCAAGCCCCAGGCCGAGCTCACCTATCGGCAGCGTGAGAGTGACAGGAACCAACAGAAGCGAGTAAGTCTTTGAGAGGAGAAACAAAACCTGTAGCCACGAGTCATCTTTGCAGCCGTGAGAGAGAACAAGAAAGACAGAAGAGATTCAGTGCAAACAATTTCTGCTGTGCATGAACCCAGGTCTTCACTGGGGAGACCCGGGTCAGGCAATTTGACTGAGGAAGGAAATTCCTTACTGGGTTAAATTAATAAAGAAGGTGCTGGGGTGCCTGAGTGGCCCAGTCAGTTGAGCGTCTGACTTCAGCTCAGGTCACGATCTCGTGGTCTATGAGTTCCAGCCCGGCGTCGTGCTCTTTGCTGACAGCTCAGAGCCTGGAGCCTGTTTCAGATTCTGTGTCTCCCTCTCTCTCTGACCCTTCCCTATTCATGCTCTGTCTCTCTCTGTCTCAAAAATAAATAAACGTTAAGAAAAAAAAATTAAAAAGAAGGTGTTGAACTAATACCTCACTCTTCCCACCTCTGTCAGCTCTGGCTACAGGGGATACTTCCTGACTTGGAAGGTTTTTGGAAAAACTTTGTGTGCATTGATGATGGGATAAAGCCTGCAGTCCTGCCTCCTTTCTCCCACTCCAATTGCTCCCTCTCTACCCCCCCACAGACTATTTTTCTTCATCTGAGTCCCTAAATGTCCTCATCCGTATAATGGAGCAGTGATATCTCCTTGCAGGGCAGTTCTCGGGCAGGCTACGTAGGTGGTGTCATAATACAACAGGCCCTAAGTAAGGTGTCTGAATCATCTCCTGGAAAGCCCCCACCCTTGTGAAAACTACATTTCCCAAGCTCCCTTATCAGTAAGCTCATGGCTGGGTTCAGCCAATAGGAGATGCAAGTGGGAGATTAACAGATGGGAGGAAGGGAGAAGCCAGGGTGTATCTCCCTACCTCCCACTGCTTGGGGGTGGGATAGGAGCTGATTCTTCCTCTATAGTTCTGGCTCCCTACAGGATAGCCCCTCCCTCTGTGGTCCCAGCGTCCCCCAGATGTCCCCACCCATCAGTTCCCACAGATGACCCCACCCTTTGGGCTCTGGTATCACCTCTAGTCCTAGGGGCAGGAGAGGCTTCCTGTTGTTGCTGCCGATTTCCGGGGTCCCTCATTGTCTCCTGCCTAGCTTCTCACCTCCTCCATCACCTATGTAACCAACACCTTCTACTAAATTCTGTTTTATTAATTTTTTTATTTTTTTAATGTTTATTTTTGAGAGAGAGAGAGACAGAGACAGAGAGAGACAGAGCGCGAGCAGCAGAGGGGCAGAGAGAGAGGAACACACAGAATCTACAGCAGGCCCCGGGCTCTGAGCTGTCAGCACAGAGCCCGATGTGGGGCTTGAACTAATGAACTGCGAGATCGTGACCTGAGCCAAAGCCGGATGCTTAACTGCGCCATCCAGGCATTTCGATTCTGTTTTAAATAACTACAGTGGTTTCGATTTTCCTGCCTGGAGTCTGGCTGATACACATAGTATTTTTTATTATTATTTTTTTAATGTTTGTTGATTTTTGAGCAAGAAAGAGAGACAGAGCACGAGCAGGAGAGGGGCAGAAAGAGTGGAAGACACAGAATCTGAAGCAGGCTCCAGGCTCTCAGCTGTCAGCACAGAGCCTGAGGCAGGGCTCAAACCCACAAACTGCGAGATCATGACCTGAGCCAAAATTGGATGCTCAACCGACTGAGCTACCCAGGTGCCCCTTGCACGGTAATTTTTTAAACTAACTATGCAGTAAAGGATTAAATCAGCAGGACTGGAGTCCTCAAACTCTGCACAGTCCAAAGAAAGGACTGGCCTTTGGTTGGCTCTGGGAGATAACCTATAAACCCTTGGAATATCCTGCCTGATAAGATGTCTTTCTATACTCAGGGCCTTGGGTCACACCAGATAGCTTATGCTAACAATGTGACTTGGGATGAATGCCTGTTTTCATTTGTCTGGGGCCTTGGCCACGCTATTTTAGTCTGACTGACTGGGGTGGGGGAGTGGTAGCGAAGACTACATACCTGTGGCCGGTCATGCCGGTGCTCCACGCCTATACAACTGACCCTCAGTAAAAACCCTGGACACCAAGGCTCAGATGGTTAGCAACATTTGTGTGCACTGTCATACATCATCCCTGGGAGAGTCAAGCTCTGTCTGTAGGACTCCCCTGGGTGAGGACAACTAGAACCACACATCTGGTCTCTGCTGGACTCTGCCTGATGCACTTTTTTCCTTTGCCAATTTTAAGCATTACTCTTTTGCTGTAATAAACTGTAACCACAAGTGTAACAGCTTTTCTGAGGTGCGTGAGTCTTTCTAGCAAATCGTGAACCTGAGGGCGGTCCTGGGGGCCTAACATACCAATTACAAAGGAAATTCTTTTTTTCACAAAGAAAATGTCTAGAGTCCCCAGAATTTAAGTAACTTACCAGAACTGAATGCAGGTTCTACTTGATTCCAAAGGCCTACCTCTGTCACGATGCCACACTGCCCCTCATAAGGACAGAGCAGTGGAGGAGAAATCTGGAAGCAGAAAGACTACTTGACTGAATATTTGAAGTAGATGGTGTTAAGGCCCCTTTGGGCTCCAATAGCTTATAAACCTATAAGTTAACAGACACCTATTGAACTCTTACATGAAGCAATTATTTGCTTGCCAGGGAGTGAGTGACTAGAGAAAGTTTGTGTGGACGAGGCCTCCTGAGCTGCACAGTGAAGGAGGGCTGGACACCAGTGAAACAGGATGGAAGCTACTGCAGAAGTCAGGGAGACAGGCAGGCGGCCAGGACTACGGGGTGATAGGGGAGAGGGAGGGACAGGGTGGATTCAAGTGACCATGCAGGAAATAGTCTACTGGAGCTCTCTGCTGGGAGCCTTGTTTTCCACCCCTCCCCTACACTGGTGGTGTGCTAGACAATCCCCTTTCCAAAAATATTGGAAAATGAAAGCCAGACATGGACATCCTCTCTGATTGCTCCCTTTCCTTTGCCTCACCCACCCACAGCAGACCATGTCGATTCTGCTTCTGAAACATTCCTATGTAGGTCCCATTCTCTCTCTCCACCTCTTCCACCTCAGCCCAGCCCAGAACTTTCTCTAACAATGAGCATTTGTTGAGCATACTTACTATGTGCCAGTTAAGTCCTATTTTACGTTAATTCTCAAGCTGAAGAAGTAAGTTTTAAACTATTGCCTCAGCTAGAGTGTGGGCTTTGAGAAAGCAGAGATCTTTCCTGTCCTGTTTGCTGCTGATCCCCAAAGCCAAGCGCACAGCCTGGTCCATAAGAAGGAACTCTGCATGTATTTGCCGAAGAGACAGGGAAGAATGTAGATGGATTGGATGTGACAAATGAGGGGAAAGAAGACGTCAGGATGGTTCCTGGGTTAGGCAACTGGGGTGGTGCCATTGACCAGGTGAGGAACCAAGAAGAAGGGGCAGCCAATGGGTTAGGCTGGAGACAGGGGGATGGACTGGATTAGGGAATGTGGCACTGAGAAGACACTTATTATGTTGCCCTGGTTCTGGAGCTCAGTTTTGGGTGGAAGATGTGGATTTAGGAGTGGTCGCCACATAAGTAGTAAATGGAGTCTGGGGGTAACTGAGATAACCCACGGAAGTATGTTGAGTTCTCGCTTGAGAAGACGTAGGGCAGAGCCTTAAGCAACGTCAATGTCTGATGTTGTGAGAAGAAAGCACCTAGCAAAACAGCAGCTGAAAAATTAAGTGGGAAACCAGGGCAGTGTGACCCCTCCCCCACAGAAGCCAGGGAAAAAGAGAAGGGGGTGCAATGTGGTATCTACAGGCATCATTGGGCTGGAGCGTATATGTTTTTTTTGGTCTGTCCTCTTGGCCTGCACAATATTTTAAAACATTTTGAATTAGTTGCTAAAATTTCAACTATGTATTTCTTTTTTTTTTCCAATGCTTTTAAAAAAAGGTTTATTTTTATTTATTTTTAGAGACAGAGAGAGAGTGTGAGCAGGGGAGGGGCACAGAGAGAGGGAGAGAAGGAGAATCCCAAGCAGGCTCCATGCTGTCTGCATAGAGCCACATGCAGGGCTGGAACTAACAAAACAGGAGATCATGACCTGAGCTGAAATGAAGAGTTGGATGCTTAACCAACTGAACCGCCCAGGCGCCCCTTAAACTTTTTTTTAAGTTTACTTATTTACTTTTGAGGGGTGGGAGGGGCGGAGAGAGGGGGAGAGAGAGAGAGAGAGAGAGAGAGAGAGAGAGAGAGAGAGAGAGAGAGAGAATCCCAAGCAGGCTCCACTGTCAGCCCAGAGCTGAGCTCAATCTCACATGAGATCATGACCTGAGCTAAAATCAAGAGTCAGACACCTAACCCGACTGAGCCACCCAGATGGCCCCAAAATAAGAGTATTTCTTTTGAAATCTCTATTCTAGTTTCCCTGGGGAAAAAAATGGAATATGGGCCATTCTGGGCCTGAATTCCTGTATGCCAAGAGCCAGGTGCCATAAGTCATAAATGGCTGTCCTTATTAGCTGAGGTGTGAGGCCTGGCAGGTGTCATTCACCCTCTGTCCTAGTCAGCCTGAGCTGCTATAACAAAATATCATAGACTGGGTGGCTTACACTGTAGACATTTATTTCTCACAGTTCTGGAGGCTGAGAAGTCTAAGATGAAGGTGCTGATGGATTCAGTTCCTAGTGGAAGCCTGCTTCCTGGCCTGCAAATAGCCACACCTTCTTGCTGGGTGCTCACGTGGCATTTCCTTGGTTCTTATCCACGGAGAGATCTTTCTTCCTCTTCCTATAGGGCACTAATCCCATCATGAGGCTCCCAGCCTCATGACCTCATCTAAACCTCTTAATACCATCACATTTGGGATTAAGGTTCCCATATATGAATTTGGGGGGGGACACAAACATTCAGCCTATGACACCATCTCAACTGCATTACTGCTTTTCTTCTAGTAGAGTTAAAAGAAAGGAGAGGTTTTCTTTTTTATTTTAAGATTTTATTTTTAAGTAATCTCTACACCCAACGTTGGGTTTAAACCTACAACTACAAGATCGAGAGCTCATGCCCTACTGACTGAGCCAGCCAGGCACCCTGAAAGGAGAGGATATCTTAAATGTATGTTTCTACTGAAAGTAGGAAAACAAAATATAGACTAAGACAGTCAAGCATTTCTTGAAAAATGGGAGGGAACATATTTCTAATTGGACATGCCTTCTCTGCCTATGAGATTTATTTTTTTGTTTTTAATTCTTAAAAAAATTTTTTAATGTTTGTTTTTGAGAGAGAGAGAGAGACAGAGTGTGATCAGAGGAGGTGCACAGAGAGAAGGAGACACAGAATCTGAAGCTGGCTCCAGGCTCTAAGCTGTCAGCACAGGGCCCTACGCAGGGCTCAAACTCACAAACTGTGAGATCATGACCTGAGCCGAAGTTGGATGCTAAACCGACTGAGCCACCCAGGCGCCCCAAGATTTCTAAGATAGTCCCCAGGGATCCTTGCCTGCTGGCGCTCATGCCCTTGTCTAATCTCCTCCCTATGAATGTGTGTGTGTGTATATATATATGATATATATCTTTATATATATATCTATTATACATACACCTTTATTAAGGTGTAAAGGTATATGTATAGTATATGTATATGTTATACATGTTTAAAGTGTGAGATAATATAAAATATACATATATACATATGTATATATATATATAAAGTATGAGATAATAAAGATATATATGTATAATTGTGATAAAACCACGTAACATAGACTTTATCATCTTAACCACTTTTATTTTTATTTTTTTTTTCATCTTAACCATTTTTAAGCGTACAGTTCAGTAGCATTGGCTATATTCACATTGTTGTATGACAGATCTCTAGAAATTCTTCGTTTTGTAAACTGAAGCTCTATATCCACGGAACAACGTCATTTCTCCTTCATCTCAGACCCTGGTAACCACCATTCTACCTTCTGTCCTTATGATAATTTTGACTACTTTAGATGACTTATGGAAGAGGAATCATACAGCATTTGTCTTTTTGTGACTGGCTTACTTCACTTAGCATAATGTCCTCAAGGTTCATCCCTGCTGCAGCATGTGTCAGCATTTCTTTCCTCTTTTAGGCTTAATCATATTCCATTGTACGTACAGACCACGTTTTGTCTACCCATTCATCCATCAATGGATACTTGGATTGCTTCCACCTTTTGGCTATTATGACTAGTGCTGCAATAAACATTGTGTACAAATATCTCTTTTAGATCCTATATTCTGTTCTTTCGAATATATCCCCAGAAGTAGAATTACTGGATCATATGGTAATTCTGTTTAATTTTTTTTTTAATTTTTTTTTCAATGTTTTTTATTTATTTTTGGGACAGAGAGAGACAGAGCATGAATGGGGGAGGGGCAGAGAGAGAGGGAGACACAGAATCGGAAACAGGCTCCAGGCTCCGAGCCATCAGCCCAGAGCCTGATGCGGGTCTCGAACTCACGGACCGCGAGATCGTGACCTGGCTGAAGTCGGACGCTTAACCGACTGCGCCACCCAGGCGCCCCTAATTCTGTCTAATTTTTTTGAGGAATCACCATACTGTTTTCTACAGCAATGGCACCATTTTATATTCCAGCTAGCAGTACCTAAGCGTTTCAATTCCTCCACATCTGTGCCAACACTGGTTTTTCTGGGGGATTGTTTGTTTTGGGTTTTTTGTTTGTTTGTTTTTTCTATAGTGGCCACCCCAAAGCACATGAGGTGGTATCTTACTAAACGTGTGTTGTTTTCGGCAGCTGAGTTTTGGGGTGATTTTTACGTAGCAAGAAATAAGTAATATACCATTTCGTTCTGTGAGTTCCAAGAAGGGAGTCTGGTTTCCAAAGCAGCTGAAAGGTTGAGCAAGAGAACTGAAACAAAAGCTCCCGCAGTCATCACATAACAAAGGTGGGGACCTGGGGCAGAGCAGACTCTACTCACTCGAAGGGTGGGGGTGGGGTGGGCGGGGCTGGGCAGCAGCAAGCCTGAAGGCAAAGAAGAATAAGGACAACTTTTTAAGTCGTGGTCTGTAAAATTTTTATGGCTTGTCTATGTTCTTTCCAGACAGGGTGAGATAAAGGGAAGATGGTAGTAGTCAGGAGGGTTTTATCCTTTTTTCCTTTTTAAAATAGGAAAGAATTGGTCATGTTTAAATGCCTATGGCACTTCTGGTGGGACTAGAACTGGAACCCAGCCTGAGTGGCTATGGAGCTTGCACATTTACCAAAAGGTTTTGCTTGCTTGCCTAATTCTGAAGCAAAATAAAAAACAAGACAATGTAAACCAGCAATGTTCTAATTTTATTTCCCTTGACTGGCTATTTTGAGTGTTTTTTGGGTGGTAAATATTAAAGATTTAATTATTTCGAGGATTCTCCCTCTCTCTTTCCTCTTGGTGCCCGTTTGGCTGGGCTGCAAATACATGTTCAATCTGTCTCTTGGGCAATCCAGCTCCCTACCCTTCCTTCCCTAATGCACCAAGTCTTGGTCAAGTCTCTTCCAAGCA